AAGCAAAAAAGTATGTGTTCAACCCAAGCAAAAGAATGTTAATGTGCATTTGATCAGATGTAACTGAAGTACAGGGTTATGAGATACATTATGTGAATGCAATGTCTGGAATATCTGTGCTGTGGTGCATTATGGGAGGTGGGAGAAACCAAGTGCAGAGGATGAAGGGGATTGTTTGTTATTTTAAAATTTGAATGCTTTACCAATGATTGAATTTGAACACATGACTAATAAATAATTTGTTGATTATAGTTATATAGTTTAGTTTGTGATGAATTTAATTTCTGTTAGCTTGCGTGACTGTCAATGGTTTTGCCCATCACTATAAATGCCCACTAGCTATGGGCCAGATTTGTCAGTATGAGATGGCAGTTGTGGTGTAAGGATGCTGAAAGAGATTGCCATGCTTGAAAGTATACCTGCTTTAATCATTGAAAGGTAAGATCTTTTCTTCCACATTCATTTGTTATGTGATTTATATACCTTGTGTATTTATTTATTTTTTTTAAATAAATGAGAACCTATATCCAGTAATAAATGTTATGAGCCAAGCAGGAGTTGTTTTTTGGTTTGTTAACAGTCCTGTTGAAAGCATGTGAAGCTGATTGGATGTGACAGCTGAACTGCATCAAGAGAAATGCCATCAGGTGAGAAGTGTTTCACTTAAGTGGGTTTTTTTTTATTTTTCTATTTATTTTAAGAATTTCCTCTGCTTCCTGAACTTGGTGTTTGTTTTATGTACAGACAAATTGTGACTTTAAAGAATAATTTTAGAAGAGCTATGACGGTGGCTTTATTGTAATGTGGGCTATGACTATACAATGAGTGGTAAGACTTTTAAAGCTCAAATGCAGAGCTTAATGCTTGACTGTGTATGAACGTCTTGGGTTTCACATAATCTGCTCTGGTTTTTGCTCTTTCAGATCCTACACTTTCCTGGGCATTGTATAAGAAACCGTTTACGTCACTATGGCATTTGGTGAGGTTAAACATTTCGGTATTTGTGATATTAGATCTGAATTTCTGAGGAACCATGCACCAAAAGGTGAAATTGTTTTGTAGCGTGTAGGCAGTTCTAAATTGATTGTTGCTGGTAACTTGTTCAAGTGTCTTGCTGTTATTACAATTTTGTGGCTTATACCTGTTGTACATCAATGGCCCTTTGGGTTCACATGTCTTATGGTGCATTTATCAAGTAAAATTATTGTATTTTTCTCTAAGCATCAGCATGACTCTTGCATCTTATTACTGATGTGACCATAGTTTTAGACCCTATACTGACATCTATCGATATTAAACTGCTTTGTCTGTGCTGCCACCACTATATCTGGAATGTACCTTGTACAACTATCAGCATGACTCTTGCATCTTATTACTGATGTGACCATAGTTTTAAAACCTATACTGACATCTATCGATATTAAACTGCTTTGTCTGTGCTGCCACCACTATATCTGGAATGTATCAAGTGTTTGAGGTGATCTTTCTCCCTCCCTTTTAAGCTGAAAGGACGTAGTAGTATGTAGGGCTGCACGATTAATCGAATGCGATTGTCATGGGCATTTTGATAGTAATGCCAGTTCTGTAATCAGCAGTAAATCATCACGAGCTTTAAGATGGAGCAGAATTTACTACACCGAGCTGTAGTTCACTGACAAGTTACGCAAAAAAAAAAAATCTCAGACGATTTTATTGTGCGATTCTGAAATCGTTCGAGATAATGACAGCTGTTTGCATAGCTTCTCAGTGAATTACGGCTCTGTGAAGTAAATGCTGCTCCATCTGAAAGCATGTGAAAATACCACATTTAATAACATATTTTTACTCCAAACTCACTTCATAACGTCAGTCGAGTGTTTGAAATGAATCCTTCTGAGATGATGTGGCTTCTTACACAGAATAAGGCACGCAACATATTTCATAGTATTTAAGCAGTGATAAAGGCATTGCATTATAAATACTTTATTTTAATGAAAATTATAACTCAGATAAACCGTACATTGCCGTAGTCGTGTGTTTATTAGTCCCGTTGAATCAATGAATGCAGTTGAATCTTCTGT